CAACAGGGTCTTCTTTCCCCGCTTAGCCCTTCAAGTCCGTTCCCTTGACTGCCGTTTCGCTAGATAGTAACTCGGGACAGAGGGAATCTCATTACTCCATTCATGTGAGAACCCAATCGCACCGCAGGGCAGTGGACTAGCGTAAAGGAGCCACACCTCCACTCCAGTCGCTCACAAACATGTCGATGGATACCACCATGCCGCCCACACACAAACCCCCACAGAGGCCGCAGTGGAGTGGTCCAACAACACAACGGCATCCTTCCCACCCACAGTCCACACACACACAATGACAGTCTCACATGCTCGTGTCAGAGAGGCACTGCGGCATTCCCTAAAATGTACACCAACTCACATACCTACAGAGAGGAAAAGAAAAACACAAGAAAGGAACAACAACAGGATACCAACAGCACACAAGGCACACACCACACAATACAATAATCACAGCTGCCACTCTCATCAGAGAAAAACATTCACACACACCAGCACATCAACTCAACCCCAAAAAGAAAAAAACAGACCCATTACGTGAAGCCGAAGCGGAACAGTCTCAGTCCACCTCCCCACAGGATGCAGTCACTCAAGCAAGCCACACAACACAAGGGCAGAAATACGTTCGTGGCAATGCCGTGAGTGACAACATTGAGAGAGGTGAGAACAAAGAAATGTGTTTTCATTACGTGGGCGGTGCGAGTAGCAACCCCAACACACAAAGGAACACACAACGGAGGGGCACACTCAAACACCCACAACCCACCAATCTTTATACCAAAATAAAAATGTAGGAAAAAAGAGTGACTGCGTGAGGCAGACACAACAATAGAGCAAAGATGTAAAAGAAAAAGAAATTCATTACTTACTGTGACTGCCATGCCTGGACACAGTCCAAACCACTCCAAGGTTAACAACGGAAAATCATTGTGTATCGAACGTACCGTTCCCATATCTTTATTCTTGATGTCCGTGCAGCAGTTTGCAAATAACTAAAGCAAAATATTACTTCACACAAATGAACACACAAGATACACAAGGTGTATCGGAAACGCAAAAGAGAAACACACAGCTGCACATAATGTGCAATGAAATTATAATGAAACACACACAAGGGAAAAAAAAAATAATGAAAAAAAGAAAGCCGTGATCATCATGTGAATATCTTCAGGGGGCAATAACACAATTCCCTGCAGTAGAGTGTGTGCGTGCGTCTTTCGTACAGGGCGAGCAGTGGGAATAATGCACACATGATGACAGTCCACACACACACAAAGAAGGACGGTTGGTAGTGTGCGTGTTTGTGTGTCTTGAACCTCCTGCTGCCATTCTTCACATTTCAGTCACAGCAATTACAACATATCGGGATTGTATCCCATTCCCATGGGTAAAAAGCAATAGTTAGTAATATCACGTGACAAACACATTTCACCAGGCGGGCACAGTAAATGGTGGCACAGCAGTGCCCAGATAATAATGCGAACAAAGAAACAAAGAGGACACTCTCCTTACAAAATGATGGTTTGTCATGTGATGAGTGCCATGGGAGCCCAATAGATGTGTTCAGCAAAAAGGCGCAAACAAGAGATTTATCGAACTGAAAAAAAAAAAATCTGATACTCCACAAAAAAAACAGTGTCCTCACAACGCATTCATGTCCACTCAAACAAAGGTTAACAGTGTAACTGTGTCATGGGAACACCGATCCGCAGACGAGAGTGCAACCCATCACACACAACAGAAGCAGCAATAAGGGACCGTGCACCAAGGCAGGACTGCTGCCGTCAACTTTCTTCTTTTGCTTGGCCTTTTCCCTGGCTTCCTGTCTCGCCTTTTCCATGGCTGATCTTTCCTGTTCTTCTCTGGCCTTCCTCGTCTTTTCCGCGTCCAGTCTCTCCTGTTCTTCTCTGGCCTTCCTCGTCTTTTCCGCGTCCAGTCTCTCCTGATCTTCCCTGTCCTTCCTCACTCTTTCCGCCTCCAGTCTCTCCTGCTCCTCCCTCTCTCTTCTCGCCTTTTCTTCCGCATTCCTCTTCTCTTTTTCCTCTGCAATCCTTCTTACTTTTTCTTCGTCAGCCCTTTTCCTCTCCTCAGCAATCCGCTTCTGCTTCGCCACCTCCAAATCCCCCTTAACCCTGTTGATGACATCTTTTCTAACCCGTTCATACGTTCCGGGCCTTACATTATTTTCTCCGGGTTTCTTATCGTCTCGGCTTATATTGGGAAGACTCCCATTTATCTTAAACACCTCCGTTAGATTAAATTTCACATCGGGTTCGTCCTCCACCCTAACTTCATCCCTAAAAACATTTTGACAACGCCCCCTGAACTCCCCTATCCTCTTCATAAATTTGGGGGATTCCCCCTCGGAGTTCATCCTGCAAAGTTGGGTCCTTCCCTGCACTTCTTTAAGACCATCCGAGACGGCCTTCATGCCTTCGTACGTTTTGTTGAGGTTTTCAATGTACAGTATCCTTTCCCTTGTCATGCAACCGACGTTGCTTTTATGGCTGACAAGGGGAAAATACCCAACGCGAGCTCCGGTTAATCTCCCAAAAAGGTGATCCAGTTCTCTTTGAAAATTGACACACACAGCAGCTTTCTCAGTTGCCTTTTTGTACAATTCTGGCATATTCCGTATGGCTGCATTAACCTTCTCCACCATCTTCCCCAAGTTGGCGGCATAATCCTTGACCTTTTGTTCGCCGCATCGTTCCCCATCCACCTTTGATGGCTTAAACCCCTCTACCGGTTTGCCGTCCAAAATCTTAAAAATGAGTATGGTGGCGTTCACGGCGGACTCAATGTCCTCGTAATTCGCATTGCACGCTCCCACGTCCTTCTTCCATATTGTTAAACAATCCTGCGCCTCGCCCAACGCTTTCGTCGAGGGATCGATAATTCCACCCAAACTTCTCTCCGCTCTCTTAATTTCGTCTTGATCTTCACACTCACCAGTTGGTTCGGTACTGCTAGTTTCTTCCGCACATGCCACACACACACAACATTGCAGTAGTACCAACAGGAACACCACACGACGCAGTTGGATGGACATCGTTGTCATGAATGTCGCAGTGAATTGCTTGGGTCTGTGGTAACAAGGAAGAAGAGGAAAAGGAGAAAAGAGACGCACATTTAACAGACAAGGCAGAGAGTACAAAACAACACAGAAAGAGAGCGCGTGTGAAAGAATACACATCACAACAGCAATCAAATACAACCCAATGAGGGAACACAACAATAAACCACTCAAACAATAAAACACACCCAGAGTCACACAGATATTGAAACAACACCTTGAATTTAGAAGAAGTGGAAAACAAATGGTATCAAAACAATATTGAATAAACGTCTCTACACACATTCCAATATCTTACTCGGTATTTATACACACAAAGTGTCTGTATTCTCATTATAATAAAACCATTACCAGGCAGTTTGAACACCAAAATACACCAAAAACACAGGGTACGCCTGGGAACATACAAAAACAATACCACAAATCATCAGCAAAACAAAGAGACTCAACAATAATCAACACACACTTCCAAACAGAAAAGAAAAGAAACCAATGCATCACCATAATATTTATACCAACACCACAATTGGAATCTAAAACCCACTCACCCACAACCATAACAAAAATGACTGCATACATCACTGTAATACCATACCATGCCACTCTTTACAAACAGAGGCAACACACAATTACTCTCTCACACACATATTACCTCTTTATTTTTTCCTTATTATTATTATCTTATTTTTCCCTCAGAATGCCGGTCTATCTCCTCTTCTCCCACAGCATCATCAGCAAAATAAAAAAAAACACCAAAAAACACATACACCCCACCCCACGATGTATATTAGGAGGGTACGATCAAACATATCCCCCCACCCAAAAAGGACCCCACACCACACCACCACGTTTTTTTTGTTGTTCTTCGTGTCTTTATGGATATTACTGAAATTGTACGGCTATCAGTCTGACTCCGTAGAGGATCAAATTACCAACTTACGAGTGGCTCTGAAGAGGAAGATCCCTTCATTTTATAGGATCCTCAAGCTCTTGTAATATGAGTTTCGTTATAGCCCGTTCCCAAACGAGAGAACCAGTCTACGAGAAATCTGATCGAGTAAACCCTACCAGATCTCTCTACTCCCACTGTACTTACCCAGAACCCGTCCTCCAGTCTCCTTTTGTTATTATTTTTGGTTATTTTTTTTTTTATAATAGATTGTCCTCTATGAACTCCTATTTATTTTGTTGCTTCTTTGGTCTGTGACAGACGCCTTGAGCGTACTCTTCTATCAAGGTTTCCATGCTCGAGCTCGTCGCTGATTTTAGAGAGGTGGGGGGGGCCTTACAGAGGATGAGGAAGGCTGCGTAGGGTTTCTCTTGGTTGTGAAAAGGTTGGGTTGTGGCGTAGTTCCGCTCCACCGCAATAAGGAACTGTGCTAACCGCTTAGAAAAACATAGTTTCATCAGGGGTACATCATCAATTATCGCAAATTGAACTCGCAGTGGATGAAGAGCGGTGCAACACAAGAGGTGCAGAGCTGTTTCGTCGCATTCGTCGCGTTGACTGGTGTGCGTGAGTGGGTTGATACCCGTGTCGTGACATTCGGTGTAGAGTTAGGCCTGACTTACTCATATACACTGACGACCACATGAGGGGCAGACTAATACCGGAAGGTCTCTTGTTTTCGTTTTCTTGTTTTGTGAATGGTTGGGCTTCGCTTTTGTTGCATACCCTGTCCCTCATGGAATTTTCTGCAATGGATGACAAGGGAGGCTGGGTGTGCGTAGAACTTCTGGCATACTCCGCATTGTACTTTCTCTCTGTCCTCACGCTCTGGTGGTGGCGACATATCTCGCTGGCGTTTCTTATTTCGTGGAAAGGTTACTTGTACTGTTGCTCACAGAATTGGAGTTCCAGGTGGATGTTTGAACTTTTTGTGGCATGCGAGACCACCAATGTTGCCAAAGTCGCGTAGACAAAATTCGCAGCGTAGTGAAGCAGGTTGAGGAATGAGTTGGATGTGAGATGCGTCCTTTGTGGGGTTCTCAGAATGTTTCGCTCTAATATGGGCTTTGAGACCTGTTTTAGAGCGCGCTATCAT